AATGCTAAAGCTACTTTGCATGTATTAGACCTTATTAATCGGGCCTTCCCTAATTCTCTTTCCCTTCCTAGAGAGGAAGGAAATGAAATATCCTCGGATGATGTAAGGCACTTGTTAAACCTACCCCTTGAGAGCTCCTTGGCCTCAGCCTCCCATGCAGCATAATTCATTGTCCAGTGTTGTGCTGAGCCAGAGCAGAGAGTGAGACGAAGGAGGAGAAAAATCAGCAAGACCAGTGTTAACCGTAGCTAACGTGTTCATAGTTTCTTCAGCATAAATATTTTTGCATTGATTGGTAGATTATTTTTGTTTTAAAGAAAAAGGTTTTAACCTCTTTTACTTGGTCTTCCAATCCTTCAATTATTTCTGGAGTAAAATATCCCTTTATGAAAAAAAATTCCCTTTATCTTTATTGGTAAAACTTTTTTACCATCTGCTAATCTTCTCATTAAAGCTTTGGGGGATTATGCCACTTAACTAGCTGTTTAATCACATTGTCTAGTTTACATGGCATTGACGTAGCTTTTTTAATAATAGTGAGAAAACACATAAAACAACACTTAACATTCCACCTAAAATCGTTTTTCTTTGAGCATCATTTTATTTAAGAGCTCTTCACATGAAAATACAATTGATCTTGTATTTCTTTTGACTCCACCCTAACCGTTTGCAGCTGAGGCAAGTGACTCACTCATTGTAGGAATTGATTAGTGAATAAGCAGGGCGCACCTCTGTGGTCAAACTCGTGTACGCTGCGCATTTCAGACTAGTAAATAAATATAAGCAAGTCAATGTGTACAATGGCTTACTGGTTAATTCACTCCTGTGTCACATTCATCATGGCTTTGCTTAATAATGTCCTGTGCTGCCACCAACGGTGCCATAAATGATCCTTGCCCTCTCTTATGCATTTTCCCATTATGATGCCTGTTTTTGGAGAGATTTGCCCATTAATCTTCAACTTCACTTCCACCCAGATGACTCTGAGTTACTTCATCTGAGAAGCTGTCCCTAAGCTACCCACTTTTAGGTAATCTTAGCCTACTCTACTCTGAATCCACACCTGTCTTAAGGATTTAACATGGATCTTGGAGGGTATGTGGGTGGTACAAATCTTAAAATGCCAGTTGCTAACAGAAAGAAAGACTTGAATATGTGCTTCCGGAAAAATCATACAGGAGTCGAGGAGAGTTGTGTTCTAAATGGATGAGCGATGGTGGTAAGTTTTCTGGGATGGTTAACTTTCTCACCTGCTAGCTTGCCCAATCCTTACACACCACTCTTGTTTTCTCTATGGGCTGGCTGGTTTCATTATCTATTTCTTTTTCTTTTAGGGTTTTATAGCACGATGATCCATGTGTGAGTGACATCTCACTCTCTCTTGGTTCTCATGGTTATCTACGAGAACAAGTCTTTTGTTAGTTCTATCTTCCTCATACCCCTTGTAAAGTAAGATAGTAAAATGCAGTAACTTAACAGAATGTCTACGAATTGAAGACTAAAAAAAGGCTGCAATGTCAAAGATGCTAAGAGCCAGCAAAGGTCATGCCAGTAGGAACTTGCCAATTTATCCTCAGGGCAGCATCTCAGAATTTTGTTATGACTATTTTTTTATTTGCATTTAAAGGAAAAAAGGGAAATAGTGAAACACCTGGTACCAAGGAAGAGCAAACAGAGAAGATACAAGATGCCTGGTTGACATAGACGTGTCCAGTTAGCTCTCTGTCTCTAGATAACATGGACCAAAGTCTTGTGCTTACAATGCCTCCTTCTTCTGGGATCACATCAAATAGATGAGAATGGCTATAGACATGCTTTCCTGTACTATGCTGATGGAGAAATGAAAATCAGAGACATCTAACTCCTTGGGGCATGTGCAGGACCGGGATCTAAGCCTTGGACATAACTGTGATAGAGCTTTGGGAACTAGGACAGGGAGAAAAAGAATCCCTCCTCCTACATTCTAGGTACCAGCTGCCTTGTTAGGAACTCACATGAACAATAATTACTTTTCCTTAGAGACCTATGACTCTGATTCACTGGGGACAACAGAACTCTCATAGTAACTGTTAGTGTCTTCTCAAAAAGAGAACTGTGTTGGATCCAGAAGCGCATAGAAAGAAATTGTTCTTCAGCATCTGCTATACTAGTCTGGCACTAAACAAAACTCACATTTAGCAGGTCACGGACACAGTGTAAGAGGAGAGAATCCTTGGCAGATGAAACTGGCAAAGTTCTAGAAGATCCTATAGTATTGGGACAGACATTCAGACAGTTAGGGCCTTATTGAGCCCATGTTTTGCTATTCTGAGGAGTGTGTAGGAGAAAGGAGAACATTGAAGTTTCAGGGCATTAAGTGACTTGCTCATTGGCGTGACAGAACAGGTAAGGGAAGACTACAAGAACCACTTAGATATCCTGATGCCCAGTCAGGATTTTCTTCTTCACGTCTTCATAGTGCTTTCTTAGGTGCTAAAATGGAAAAGTATTTTAACAGACAAAGGAACAACAAACAATGGACAAAGAGAGAACAAGATTGGCCAGGTAAAGGGTGAAGGGTAATTCAGGGCAGCAAACTGGTCTAGTCCCCTTAGTTCATGGTCAGTTCATGACCACCAGCCCCGATTTCTCTTCTTGATCATCTCTGCCAGCGGATTAGTCCGACACTGGCCTAGCTGCCAAAGCTTCATGCTGAGAAGTTGATCAAATAGCTTCTCGGCGTTGCTGCACTGATATTCTGCCAAATGACTTTCCATCCATTAGTTTGAAAGACTCCGCCAGTCTGTAGATATTAATAGACTGAACTGCCAGTATTTATGTTTGCTTACTTAATGGTGAGCCTTTCCTGATTAGAGGCTGCTGGAAGAGCCACGCGATGCATGTAAAATTCGGTTGTGAAATAAGTACTCTTGTGTACACTTTGTTCCTAAAGGCAGGGTCACAATTAAGGAGCAACGCAGACTTGGGCGGGTTACAGAAATTCTTTCTGTCTTAGTTTCCTCATTTGTAAATGGAGGATAATAAAAAAAAAAATCTACTTCCCAGAGTGCTTATGAAGATGAGGGAATGAATAGACGAATCTTCTGCAATAGAATCTGCAGCCTGGTGCATGCTGTCTCTGTGTTTTCTAGGAGTCCCTGGGTGGTGCAAACAGTTACACATCTGAATGCTAGTTGAAGGATTGGTAATTTGAACTCACCCAGTGGCGTCTGGAAAGACAGACCTGAAGAATTACTTCTCAAAAAGGTCTTAAAACCGCCATGGATATAATGACGATTTTTTAAAAAAGGCATTAAACAAAAACCACCATGGAGTACAATTTTCCTCTTGTATACATGTGGTCATTACTAGTCAGAAGAGATTTGCTGGCAACAAGCAACAGTGTGTGTGTGTGTGAGAGAGAGAGAGAGAGAAAGAGAGAGAAGTCATTAAGTACAATGTTGCTGCTGCTTATATCTGTTCTTGATAAACTAAACTTCTCTAATTAAGACAGCAACTTTCTGCTAAGTAAACAAGTAGGCAGAGAATTCAAGCATCTTTTATTGCCATTGAGTTCTTAAAGGCCAATTAAAGTTATTTTTTAATTTTCTTGAAAAAAAAATGAAGTTGAATACTCAAACACTTGGACAGATCTTTTCTGTTTGCAAGGTACTTCATATCTTATTTGATAACATTATTTGTTCAATGAGATCCTGCCCGTCCTTCTACGTGCTGAGATCTAAGTCTGGTACAGTGAATGTGTCCCCCTGGAACAAAGCTGTACTGGAAGCGGGCTCAGAAGAGGCTTCTCAGAGAGTGAGCTTTCTGAAGTGAGGTTTGAGGGAACTAGGAGAGTCCTAGAGACGGGAAAGATAATGTTTAATAGCACAAGGGCATGGGTAACACAGAGATGTGGAAGAAAACAGGGGCAATTAGAAAAACTACAGATAATTGATTGTGGCTGATGAGAGGAGAATCCCTACATAGCAAAGTGCTTGAATGCTAAGGAAAGGTTGGTGGTTTGAGTGGACTGAGGGGAGCCTTGGAGGAAATTCCTGGAGATTGACTTTAGAAAAACCAGCCTTTGAGATCCTGCTGGGCACAATTTTATTTTCTGATACATGTATGATTATCACAAATAAGAATTGTCTTTACAACTTTTTTTCCTTTTAAAGAAGTGTAACTATGAGAGATGCGGTTGTGGGTGTGAGGATCAAATTAGAAAGAAGCATGAGGAAGGAAGCAGGGGAGACCTCATGTTGGACTATTTTTCAGCACATCAACGAGTCTAAGTGATAGTCTACTGCTGCCGGTGTGACGTGGTGTAATGTCTAATAAGGACGTGAAGCTTGACAAATGAAGATTATTTGCACTGGAGTGGAGAAGCAAGAATTGACAAAAAGAAAGTCTGAAGATAGAGAGAGATTAGCTGCATGGGTGTTGTTTTAATCCAGGCTAGAGATGAAGAGACTTTGAAGTAAGGGAGGAGTTGTTATCTTGGAAAGGTCGGTAGATGGCACAAAACATTTGTGATTGGCTGCTAACCTATAGGTTGGTAGTTCAAACCCAGTGGCACCCCCAGAAGAAATGTCAGTGAATGGCTTCCATAGTTATTACAGTCAAGAAATTCAATGGGGCATCCTATTCGAACTCCCTGGTTGCCCACCATGTGTTATGATCTCAAACCCTGTTGAAATAATATAAAAATTTTGACTCAGAATGTTTACCTGACTTACAAGGAGTGGTTAGCATTAGAGATGGGAAAACAAGGATTTGTTTTATAAAAGTGCTTACCTGTATCAGTTTTTCTTGACATATGTTATGACAATTCTATATCACAGCTGTCCACATTCTCTCATGAGTAGGAACTCTGGTGAATCATTTGAGAAGGCTCCCATAGACTCTGATGTATTTTATCCACAGTACTTGCTCAATAAATGAGAATTCAAAATACAGTTCATTTCAGTTTATGACTTCCTAATTCCCTTCTCATCCTAGTTCTGTCATATACCATCAGCTTAATGGCAAAGAAGAACCTCTCCTTAGTGAATGAATTCCTCCTCATCGCATTCACAGAGTGTCCTGAAAGGGAACTCCCTCTCTTCCTTCTCTTTCTGTTTATCTATCTCATCACCTTGTTGGGGAACTTGGGGATGATCACCCTGATTCGCATGGATCGTCGACTTCATACCCCAATGTACTTCTTTCTGAGTCATCTCTCTTTCATGGACATCTGTTATTCATCTGTCACTGTTCCTCAGATGCTGGCCGTGTTGTTGGAACACGGGGCACTTTTGTCCCTCACACGCTGTGCTGCCCAGTTCTTCCTGTTCACATTCTTTGGCTCCATTGACTGCTACCTCCTGGCCCTCATGGCCTATGACCGCTACGTGGCTGTGTGTCAACCCTTGCTTTATGCCACCATCATGACGCAGAAGATCTGTCTGGGTTTTGTGGCCGGGGCTTACATTGCTGGTCTCCTCAGTGCTTTCGTGCGCACTGTCTCAGCTTTCTCTCTCTCCTTCTGTGGAACCAACGAGATTGACTTCATTTTTTGTGACCTTCCACCTCTCTTAAAACTGACCTGTGGGGACAGCTACACTCAAGAAGTGGTAATTATTGTGTTTGCCATTTTTGTCATCCCTGCTTGCATGGCGATGATCTTGGTGTCCTATTTGTTCATCATAGTGGCCATTATGAAGATCCCCTCAGCTGGTGGTCAGCTCAAAACCTTCTCCACCTGTGCTTCTCACCTCACCACAGTCTCCCTCTTCTTTGGCACGCTCATCTTCATGTATCTGAGAGACAACTCTAACCAGTCCTCAGAAGAGGACCGAGTGGTGTCTGTGTTCTACACAACAGTGATCCCTATGTTGAACCCCTTTATCTACAGCCTGAGGAACAAGGAAGTCAAGGAGGCCCTGAAGAAAATCACCAGTAGAGTCAAGTCGTCTTAACTTTTGAGAATCCTTTCTTTGGTGGTGCCAGAATTTTGAGTGTTCATTTCTTACAGCACACTCAATATTCCAAGAAATATGCCATCATCTGAACATAAAAGAGAACCAACTTTTAGCTTCGGAGAGAGGAAGAAAAAAGAGGAGGCAGCCTAAGATTGGCATGAAAGCCAAGACTCTCAGGAAAAGTGACAACAGGATCTGAAATGAAATCCTATGCTAACTGGATGCTGTGTATCTCACCAGCTTGTGACTATACAAGATTGTATTTTTTTACAAAGTTTTGTATAAAATATTTGTATCATGTGGAAAAGTAGAATGTGATAGGCAGTGAACCCTCTCTACTCTATCCCTAGATTTTATATTGCTAATATTTTGTTATATTTTACTTTATCATCTGTATATAACCATGTTCCTTCAAGCCACCTGTGCTTTTTGTTTGTTTTTTTTTTAAGTTGTAAAGAAAAGGATATCTTCCCCCGGTAAAAATTTGTGTTTTATTAATATATGTTGTGGTCACACTTTCCTTTGTTCACATTGTGTTTCTATATGATCATTCCCATACATTGTATTTTATAAAATTAAACTCTATTGATCTATGCCCACTATTACCCCATTTTTTTTCAGGTCCCCACTAGATCTTTCCTAATTCCTGTACCCTCTCCCTCTGCCCACCAAACTCTGCAACTGTATTGTGGGTGGGGTGGGTGGGAGCCACCTAATTCTTCGTAGCATTTTAAGGTGAGTGGTAGACACCAACATTAATATCCTTTATTTACACACATACCAGAATGTATATTATCAAGTAGAAATCAAGATTTAGATTTCCTTTTTAAAAATTATCAAATTATGACAATCTGAACCATCCTTCTGCCCTGTTTCAGAAAGCTGACCCTGATCAAGGTATTCTATGTCCCTGTCTAGTAGTTTCCATGGATGAAAAGCACAAGGACACATGTATCAGTTGCTGTCACCACTGAAATGTGCCCTGTTCTCAGTTCTTTCCTCTTTGTTTCTGTGCCTTTTTGCCTGAGAATTCACTTGGTGAAATAATTCCTTCTGCTGTAATAGTATTTTCAATTTCTGTGTCGTTGTTGGTGATCCTCCATGTTCTTAAAGCTTTTGTCCTCAGTGATGCAGAGAATTGCTGTTTTCTAAGCAGGGTTAGGAGGTGGGGGTTTCCTTGCTATACTTGGCTTAAAGCGTCACAAAGTCCATTTGTTCTTGATGTCTGATTTTGATAAGGATAGGTGTGTCAGAGACAGAGAGATTGGCTCAGGGTAGAACAGGGTCCACGTTTATTGTGTATAGGGTCGCTCTAAGTCTCAAGCAAATTGACAGCACATAACAATAACATTATTAGTTTATAAAATATAACTGAAAAGGCACAATTAGCCAAAGAGAAACTAAATGATTAAGACCTCTTAAAATCCTTAAATGCACGGATAGATTTCTCCAAAAGAGTAAAAGAGAATCTATGGAGTGGGGGAAATGTTTGGCAATAATGTAATCTCTGAAATTTATAGAAAACTCAAATATCTGAACAAGAAAAAGACAAGCAATACAACCGATCTTCGAATTTTTGAACAGCTCTGTTTGTGTGGTTGAGAATACATACAACAAAACATATATCAATTCAACCGTTTCTACAGTGACATTGATTACTGAGTTATTCAACCATTTTCTAAGTTGTTCTTTCTCCAGTGCCACCAAGGTGCTCAGGCCTAGTTTATTTGTTTTTGGTCAAACATTCTTTTAGGTCTGAGAGCACTGGTCTGTGCATTGCTGTACAGAGGTAACTTCTGGTTGCTGTGATGCTGAACACTGTGACACTGATGTGTCAGATGTGATAATGGTTACCCATGGTGGACAGTGTTTGGTGGAGCTCCCTGACTAAAACAGGCTTGGAAGCAGGAGTGGCATCTATTTTTGAAATAGCTTGCCTCTGGAAACCCTATGATCCTGGAGAAACGATGAAAATTATACAAGTATTTGGGTCTTTTGTTCATAGGCTCGCTATGAGTCCTCGATGATTTGATGGCACTTAACAACAACAACAACAGTTAGTAAGTAGTTTATGTTTCACTTGTGTGGTGGGAGAAGTTCAGGAGTAGTTAGAAAGCTGGAATCAGCCATTTGACTTTCTCTCTCAATTAAAAAGCCTCTGTTTCCTGTGAATAACAGAGTAACACATGGAAGAGTTATTTATTCTCTTAAAATTTTCCGGAAGGCTGGGATTACACAATGAACTGAAAGGGAGTACTACAAGAATAAATTTCCAGGTTTAAGGAGAAAATTTAATGTCTCTGTCTGATGAAATTGTAAGCAGACAATGAAAGGCTTCTATTCAAGTGTCCTTCAAGTCCCAATGATGTATGTGGGATTCTGTGCCCTTTTAAATATGTAAATAGAATCTGGGAAAAGAACAAAATTACTTTTAAGTATAAGGAAAAAAGATAATATTTAGTAATTTTTGGCAATAGTTGGCAATAAAAGAGTTACCTGTTTATAAATAATGTTAGTATTTTTTTAAATCTTGTTCTACCTTGTATTGTTAGTTGTTGTTAGGTGCTGTTGAGTCAAGTATGACCCATAGCAACACTATGAACAACAGACCTGACACCTGTCCTGTCCTGTGCCATCCTCACACTTCCTGCCACATTAGAGCCCATTGTGGCAGTCTACCTGCTTGAGGGTCTTCCTCTCCTTTGCTGAACCTTCACCTGTCCCAGTATCAAGTCTGTCTCTAAGGAATAGCCCCTCATAACAACATATCCAAAGCATGTAGGAAGAAGCCTCATCATTTTTGCCTCCAAATAGCACTCTGGTTACATCCTCTCCAAGACATTTGTCTCTTTTGACTGTCCATGGGATGTTCAGTGCTCTTTTCTAGCACCACAGCTCAAAGGCATCGATTATTTTTCTGTCATCTGTATTCATTGTCCAGCTCTCAGATGCATAGCAATTGACTGGAAAGATTTTGGTCTGAATCAGACATACCTTCGTCCTCAAACTGACACAATCACTCCTCAACAATCTCTGTAATCTCTAACTGAAGACTTTTCCAATGCAGTATGTCTCCTGGTTTCCTGACTTCTAGTACCAAGGGTGTTAATTGTGGATCCAAGTAAGATGAAGTTGTTGACAGTTTTACTCTTTTTGATGTCTTCAGGTCCAGTGGTAAGACAATGTCTTCTTAACATTGAGACATAATCTGTATTGAAGGCTATATTCTTTGATCTTCTGCAACAAGTGCTTCTAGTCCTTCTCATGTTCAGCAACAAGCTTGTGTCATTTGCAGGGTACAGGTGATTGATGTATCCCCTTCCAATCTTGATGTCACATTCCTCTTTATAGAGTTCAGTTTCTGAAATAATTTTGTCAACATACAGATTGAATTGGTGTGGAGAGAGAATACAATCCTGAAGTACTCCCTTCTTAATTCCTTCTTAATTTTAAAACCTGAAGTAGTGTTTCCTTGCTCTGTTTGCACAACAGCCTTCGAGTCTAGGTATAAGTTTCACATGAGAACAGTTATTTACCCTGGGATTCACATTCTTCTCAGTGTTAGCCATAACTTATGATTGACACGCTCAAATGCCTTTAAATAGTCAATAAAGTGTACATAGACATTCTTCTGGTATTCTTTGCTTTCAGCCAGAATCCACCTGACATCAGCAATGAATATCGCTTGAATACCACTGCTTGAACTTCTGACAGTTCCCTGTTTATACCCTTTTCTAGCCATTTTTGAATGATTGTCAGCAGTATTTGCTTGCTTGTAATATTAGTGATAACAGTTCAATTGTTTCTATACTCAGTTGGAACACCCTTCTTGAGAATGGGAACAAATATAGACCTCTTCCAATCCATCGACCAGACAACTGTCCTCTGAATTTCTTGGCATGTCAAAAGAAGAGCCACAAAATTATGAAAATGAACTAACAAAGAAAGAAAGAACAGGAGTTCCCAGCAGGGGACCCACAGATGCAGGTCTTCATGTCCGTGACTCCCTAAAAATATAAGCGAAACAACACTGAGAAGATAAACTTTACTTTTTGATATTCATGGTTAAAGAAAACCAAGGCCCGGAATCGCTATCTCTCAGAAAGTTTGGTACTGTGACTTAATATCTAACAGGAAAAGAAAATGTCCAAGAAAGACCCTCTTGGACATCTAATTCAATAAGGACATGACAAATAGAACAACCTACCTGGACCTGGCCTGGTCTTACCTCCTCAAAGCAGGTTCTTTCTGATAGATGTGGCAGAGCAAGATCACTATTGCTTATTGATCCAAGCTGCAGGGTCTCAGCCACTGAACATACTTCTCAGTCTAAAGGAATAACCTTTCTTAAAGGCATTCTGAGGTTCCCATCTGGCAGCAGGCTGCTTTCATTTTGCCCCTCCTCACCCCTTTCCCAGTAGGAGCAATTGCTTATTAAGGAGAAGCTCGACTGACAGAGACTCGAAGGAGCCTCATCTACAATGAGTCATCAGAAGATGTTGTTTCTTGGAATGATTCTCCTTTGCTGCTTGGCACTTGGTCAGTGGCCGAGCCTCTTCGCAGGAGCTGCATTGATTGTCTAAGCAGCCTCCTTCTTAGGTGCTGGAGTTCTGCAGGCTGTGTATATGCCTTGTATGAAAATGAGGTTCTGTGGTCAAATCCTTTTGGGAAATGGCAGGGTAGAGAAAGTTGACGAGATTTCTTAATTATAGGGCCTTATAGATCTTTCGATATGCTGATATACAATATAATTTTCCATTTGCAGGGGATGGTGTATGCAGCAATTTCCAAGCTTATGAGAACAGTAAGCCTATTTACCTTCTTGGAACATCTAACCTTAGCCACCTGGGGAAATGCAAGACTTTATAAGAGAGGAAATCTCTTTGGTTGTAGATCTTCCATTTTTCTGTATTGTAATTCTTTGGGGGCTGAAAAAAAAATGCTAGTACCTGCCTCCTACACTGAGATGTCCTGAATTAAAGGGTACCGGATATAAT